TCTTTTCTTTCTCCAGAATGAATGAGCCCTTCCCACCCTTTTGTCCACCACCCCCTCACATCAAGCACCCTCATTCTTCTCTTTCAAGCTGAATTGTTTCTGTTGCTTACTGTTGTGGTTTGGCTCTGGAATGTTCTCTAAAGTCTCATGTGTCAAAGGCTTGGTCCTCAGTAGCAGCAGTGTTGAGAAGTGGGGAATCTGGGAAATGATTGTCCTCTGAGGGCTCTGACCTCATCAAGGTATTCATCCACTGGTGGATTAATAATTGGATGACATTATTAGGAGATGGTGGAAATTGTAGGAGGGAGGGCCTAGCTGGAGGAAGCAGGTCACTGGGCTGTGCCCTGGAAGGGCAGATCTTATCCTTGAATGCTTCCTCTTGCTCTCTGCTTCTGGGCTGCCATGAGCTGAGCAGCTCTAATTGGCTACATTCTCTGCCTTGCTGTTCTCCCTCACCTCAGGCCCGAGCGATGGAGCCCACTGACTACAGACTGAAATCTCTGAAGCCACGAGCCAGAATAAATCTTTCTTCCAATAAGTTGATTTCCTCAGGTATTTGTCACAGCGATGAAGAGCTGACAAACATATTCACCCAATGCCATGGAAGCAAAACCCAACCCACAGGAAGCATTTGGGCTGTGATAACAATGTCAGATTTATTTTGTTTCTTGATTCTGAATCTTGGACCAAGTTGGGGCTGGGAATTCTATAGCATGTTCTGTTAAATAAAAAAGTCAGACAGCTTTTGCTATCTGAAACCTCTTTAGAGCTCTTAGTGATGGGATCTTGGCTAAGAGACAGGGAAGAGCTCCCAAAGATTCACCCGAGCCTCAGCATGTACCAGGGAAACATGCCCCATGCACATGCACCTTCGGAGCCCGCTGGCAGCAGAGGTAGGCAGATACATCAAGGCAGCGGGAGGCCGGGGTAAGTATTCACGAGAGAGGGAAGGAGGCTGAGAAATTTGTCATGTCATCGATACCCACCCTCCTGCCTGCAGCCTCATGCAGTTTTCTGGCTTCTGTGGTTTTAAACCATTTTGATTAGCACCATAGGGAGAAAATCCATTTCTAGGTTTCTTCCAGGGTTAAAGGACTTGGGTTAAACCTTCTGAAAGAGATATGGTTTCCTGATGCCTACTGAGTTCACTTGGGATGCAATTTCAGAGCGATGTTGAACAGTACTTGGAGCGAAAGAAAACCTTAATAGCCTCTGGAGGACACCCCGTAGGGGTCCAGGCTGAAGAGTAGGTGGGGTATGTGTGAGAAGATGGGTGGTAGTTTTCTGGTACTTTTTCATTAAACTGCCACTTGATTCAACATGGTGGAATTTCTTGATTTCTGAACATTTTTAGTTATGCAAATTTTGTTCAAGCAAAGCACCCATAGAAACCTGCTCTGCAAATGTGAAGAGGCCCTGGTTAAAGAGAGGAGTAGGGGGCCTGGAGACCTGAATGCTCTTGTCCCTTCTTCTCCATCTTCTAGAATTTCAGAAGGAATCCTTGAAACCATCAGGCCAGTTCAAAGATTCCTGGGGCAGTTTTAAAAGACATAAAATTTGAAATCTGTTGAAGTCAGTGGCCCAACACTTGATTGACCTCTTGATCCCCACTAAGTTGGATATCATAAAATTAATTGCTTAATAAGAAAATATAAACATAATTGTCAATAAATCTTAAATAGTGTGTGGAAAATGGCTTATAGTAGGTGCCCAATAAATAGCCTCTAACAAGCCACGCTTTGCTGAGGTTCATAGGAATTAAAAAATGAATGAGAGACTTTGTGAAGCTGAGGGTCTGGTCCCTACCATGGGCAGGATAGAATATGAACTACACGTGATAAAACAAAGTGCCACGGGAGGAAAAATGGAGGAAATGAACATTTCTAATCAGGTGTTGCTGACACTGCCAGTTGCCTACCCAATATCTTTTTCCCATGTCTTCCTTTGTAATAGAATCTTCGATTTCCATCTGAATCATGGTTGCCTGGAATAGAAACCACACCTCCTAGCATCCCTTGCAGCTAGTGGCTCTGTAAGTTCTGGCCAATGAAATGTGAACAGAGTGCAAAGTGAATTTGGAGACTCTTGGCATTGCCCTCTGCCTCCCTCGCCCTGGCCCACTTTCTCCATCTCATTGCTGGGACTGTGTGGCTGAGTGGTTTTTTTCTGGTAGTTTCATTAGCTCCCTGCAGAAGGCCGTGGTTCAATGGAATCTTTGAGCGTGGAAGGGATATGAACCAGTGCCTCACAAAGTGTCCCTTCCACTGTTCCATCCAGGGGCAGCTTTATTCCCAGGAGGCTGGGTGGATTTTAAACATCCCACAGCCCCAGGAGCTCCCACTGATGGTGAACAACTCTGATGTCCAGGGTCTCAAGAAAGGATCTCGGTAATATTTCTAAGTTGCAAAAAGGACACACCTGTATTCAGGATGCAATTATGGGTTTGCAGGGTGGAAGGCGGCAGGAACTGGTGGGCTCTCTCTCTCCAATCTCACTAAGACCTTGAGAGAGAGAAGTCCTGAGCTTGTGGGGCTCTCCTGGATACAGATGGGGATCCCGTGGAGAGAGGGCATTCCAAGAGCCAGGTCCAGAGGGAGGGTAGGGCTTCTCCTCCAGTAGCTGCCTATTGAGATTACTCAATCAGGGTCTAATTCCAGGAGAACAAATAGCTGGGAGATGGGGGGTGAGATGAAGAAGGAGGTCATCCCGGGCCCAACTAGAAGGAGGCACTGAGGGGCTGGGGGAAGGGGAGCTACTCTGAGACTCTTGAAGGAACCTGAATTCTCTGAATCCAGCGTTACCTGGTGGACTGAGATGGAGCCCACAATTCTTGAGGGAGTGACAGAAGTTTTCTCTAACCAAACTGTGCCTCCCTGTCATTGCTTGGAACTCTGCATTTATGACAAGGCCTGATATTTCATCAATGTGAGTGGCAGAGAGAGTACCTATCTCCTTTTTCAAGAAGTAGCAATACTCCAAGGATTAGGATCAATCCAATCAGCAGGGTGTCCTGTGATCACCATCTCAAGAAAGTGGGAATGGAGTTGAGGAGAAAAGGAGGAGAGAAGGAAACATTTAAAGGGCAGAGGGACACCAGAATGAGGGTTTTGACAATCAGGGGTACCATGAGGGCAGAGACTATGAACGTTTATTGAACATCTCCTATGTGCCAAGCATTATGCCATCTCTAGGGACAAACCTATGGCTGCTCCTCATTCATTTTAAGATGGTGTTCCCCAGATCTTGTTCCCTTCTCTTGTTCTTACAAATTTTAGAAACGGAACATTGTCTCTCTCCTTTGGAAAATGGGGCTCTGCCCACTTAAATCTTCTGCCTGGCCCATGGCTCTGGGTGACACTATCAGGGAGTGGTCTGCAGGGGTCCTCTATGTCAAGAGCCCCCGTGGTAGAGGGTCTGTGCTCTGCCTCTCAGAACCACTGCTGCCCCCAGGGCGCTGCTCACCTCTGTTTCTGCCAGGGCAGTCCTGTGCTGGGCTGTGCTAGTCCGGGGTGGGAGAGGTTCCTTGAGGGGAGGGCGTGGAGGATTTTGAATCATGCAAAGTGGCTCATGTGTATGACTCATGGCAGCCATTGGTGGAGTGATGCATGGCCAGAGGAGAAATGTGGCTGGCCACAAATGACAGCCACAAACCACACCTATGGGCAGCCGCAGAGGGGCAAGAGGAAGACTCCCCGCCTCCTTGGCCTGGGGCCTTCTTTCTTCTGCAGTTCTCAGCTGTAGAGTTGATGGCTGTGATCTCTTGAGAGATTTGTTCAAGGGATCTATGGCCACTAAATTTATTGGCCTCTTACTGAGCCTAGGACTTGTACTAAATACACGTATGAATTTAATGAATCCTCCCAATAATTCTAAGAGGTAGGTGCTGCTATTATTATTATTCCAATTTTATAAATAAGGAAACTGAGGCACAGAGAAGACAGGAAGCAGCAGACCCAGGATTCCAGCCCAGCCTCTCTGACTTGTGTCCTTGAGATTATCCACCTGCTCTATGGCCTCTATTCATTCATGAAATACTGAAGGCTGAAAATGATCTTGTGAAGCATCCATCAGAAGGGCCTCCGAGCTGTCCCTATAATCCTCTATCCCTCCAAGCACTTTGGCATATTGCATCTTTATTTTTTAATATTTTTCTTTAGTTGTAGATGGACACAGTGACTTTACTTATTTTTATGTGGTGCTGAGGATTGAACCCAGTGCCTCACATGTGCTAGGTGAGTGCTCTACCACTGAGCTACAGCCCCAGCCCAGCATATTACATTTTTTTAGCATATTGTATCTTAACAAGCTTTCTTCAGAAGGCACGACAGAGGTAGCAAAATAACTAGAATTGTAGGAATTTTGCTTAAGTCTGTTTCTGCCCACGTATGCAAGTGTCACCTACCATGAAAGAGACAATTCTTTACCAAAGTCTGATTCTTCTTTTTCCTGGGCACAGAGCTACAGCTCCCAGACTCCGTCACAGTTCATCGTGACAAAACGACCGGCTCTTGTCAATGGAAGTGAGCAGAAGTGATGTGCCTCCCTTCCAGGCTCCTCCCCCGGCTCTGCCCTCTCCACTCCCTTTGTCCCTGTTCATCCACTAGATGCCTGTGGCCTGCAGGTGGAGGGAATGGAAGAGACACCTAATGGACAGAGCCTGGGTCCCTGTCTTGAGAAGGACACAGCAACTAAGAACAGACATCTTGGACTCTTGAACAAAAACCTTGATGGCCTTTGAGCCAGCGTATATTTTGGAGTCGATCTATTGCCACAGACAAGTCTGTCCTAAAACACCATTGTCTTTGCTGATAGTCAAAAGTTGAGACTGGTCACCTTTGAGAACAATAAAAATCCACCAAGGGGCTTCTGGAAACTTCTAATCTCTCAGTGGTCCCATGTACCAACAGCCATGTCCTCCTCCCTCCCCCGCCAGAATGTGTCCCCAGGTTAACAGCAGAGGAGGCAAAGCCAAAGGAAAGCCAGCGCATGCATTACATTACCACATCTGTTTCCTTCAAGAGAGGTCCCGTTTCTCTTGGGGCTGGAGGCTGGGGGCCTCAGTCCAGGTGCTGCGGGGCCTCCAGAGGACACAGGACTGGTATGGGGACCACTGGTGGTGGTGGCAGGGCCTCCCCCAAAATGGCCATCTCCAGAGTTCAGCCTCTTACAGTAGAGTGAGGAGGGGGTGGGCAAGGAGCCCCTGTGGCCAAAGGAAGAGGTCGAGGGGTCCATACTGTAGCGGTTCATGGCCACGGGGCTCACCAGGCACTCTTCGGTGGTGACCGTCTTGGCTGAGTGGGAAAGCAGCACAGAGAAGAGACATCAGAGCAGTTCAGGAAGCCACCTGAGCCTCGCTCCTGGCAAGCCCTGCCTGCCCTGGCAGCAGGGTCACCTCTATGTGCGAGGGTGGGAGAGGAGAAATGAACTCCACTGATTCATTCCAAATGGCACACTGTCAGCAGATGGAGACAGAGGCTTCGCCATTTAAAGCGTATTTTAGTAGCAAGTGGGAGATGTGTCCTTCGTGGTTACAGGGAAAAAGTTATTATCTTGGCTACTGATGACTTGGAAATAAAATCCAAACCAAAGCCTCTTGGCGTTACCCTCTGTCCCCGTTTCCTCCCATCTGGTAGTCTCTGCTGGCTGGTCACCTCTCCCTGCTCACTCCCCCTTGTCCATCACCACTGCCCCACTCCTGGGGTCAAGATTCCCAGGATAGATCAAACAGGAGTCACTGGGTCTCACAGTTGGGAGAATCAGCTTTGCCTGGGGTTGTGACATAGGTTAATAGTGCTTCCTCCCCAATGCTCAGATCTAATACATCAAGGACACAAATGCTGATTGGACAACCCAGGGTCTTCTTCAGACTCTGCTCATGAGAGCCAAAGAGCCAGTCTAATGTGCAGTGGGGTGGAGGACCTGAAGAGTCTGCGGACCCCAACATCCGTTCCCCAAGTCCATCAGGACTTTCCAATCCTCTAAAGCTCAATCTTGAAGTCTGTTAAACTGTCTGTGATCTATATCTGTGGCCCAAGTGATGATTTCTTTGTTTTTTAACAAAGTCTTGAGAAATAATGGAAATAGAAAGAGGAAGAAATTATTCTAGTTTCTCCCACCCCAGACAAAATCACATCTGTATAGCTTCATCAATAATTATCTGTATATTAAACATCATCAAAATAGATCTTAATATCCCCCCCAAAAAATGCAATCAGAAACAAAAAGACAACACTCCAAGATCAGCAACGGAGACACACATTGGGGCCACAGATCCAAACGTCTTCTCCATGTTTGGATTCCTCCCACAATGAAGGTATCGAAAAAATTAGAACTGGGAGAACTAGCAGAATTTCTCACAGTTGAGGAGATACATGGAACTGGACACGAAATAAAACCCAGTGCAGGGGGCGTGAGCTAAAGCAGTGCTTAGAGATAAAAATCATTGCTATAAATACATTTCAAAGCAAGACAGATCTCAAATGAATAATGTCTTAAGACCCTAGGAAAAAAGAGCAAATTAAAATTAAAGCAAGCAGTAAAAAAGGAAATAACAAAGATTTGAGCCAAAAGTCATTCAATAAAATAATGAAGCCAAAAGCAATTCCTCAAAAAGATCATTAGGATTAACAAATCTCTAGCTAAATTGACCCAAAAAAGGGGAGAAGACAACAACTCAAATCACTAGAATCAGAAATGAGAAAGGAAATATTACTACCAATTTTAGACAAATAAAAATTATTAAGGGATACATGAATAACCATGTGTCAGTAAATTATGTAACTTAGGTGGAAGGGATTAACTATTGGAACTGACTCAAAAATAAAGACACAATCTGAGAAGACATACTGCAAATAAAGAGATTGGATTAGTAATAAAATGAAAACTTTCCACAAAGAATGTCCAAGCCCAAATGACTTTATAGGTGAATTCTATCAACATGGAAAGGAAAAAAACAATAATGCCAATTCTTCCAAAAAGTGAAAGAGGAAAGAATAACTTTCTAACCAATTCTATGAAGCCAGTGTTAACCGGATGCCAAAACCAGATGGACATCCTAAGAAAACTATAGACCAACATTTTATTTATGTGGATAAGGAAATCCTCAAAAGAAAATATTAGCAAAATGGAACCCAGCCACATATAAAAAGATTTATTTATATACCTTGACCAAGAAGGATTTGTCCTAGGAATGCAATGTTGATTAACATCCTGAAGTAATGTTATAAGCCATTTCAACAGAAGAACTGAAACAACCCAAAGACTACTCAATCATCCCAAGAGATACAGAAAAATATTTGACAAAATCCAAAATGCTTTCATGATAAAAATCACTTAACAAACCAGGGAACTTCCTCAACCTAACAAAGGGTATCTGCAAAACCCTGTAGCTGACATCATAGTTAATGGTGAAAGAATGAATGCTGTCCCCGTAAGAGTGGGAACAAGCCAAGGATGACCATTCTTGCCACTTTTATTAATATCATTCTGGAGGTTCCAGCCAGGAAAATTGGGTAAGAAAGAGAAAATAAAGGCTTCCTGATCACTATGAAAAAGTAAAAGTATCTCTTATATGTACCAAATGCTAAGGAATCTAATTAAAAATTATTGGAACTCACACATCAGTTCAACAAGATCGCAGAAAACAAAATCAATTGTATTTCTATACACTTTCATCGAACAATATGAAAATGAAATCATTTAATATGTGATCTTTCATGGCTGGCTTCTTTCACTTAGCATAGTGTTCCAGGTTCATTCACACTGTAGCAGGTGTCAGTAACTAATTCCTGTTAGTGCCCAAGTAATATTCCTTTGTATAGAATGTCACATTTTTCCCCCCATTCATTAGTTGATAGTCATTTGAGTTGTTTCCACTTTTTGGCTAATATGAATAATACTGCCATAAATATTCATATACTGGTTTTTGTATAGACACTTCTTTGCATTTCTTTAGAGTGTATACCTAGGAATGCAATTGCTTGATCATATGGTGATTCTACCTCATGATTTGATTTATATGGAATGTCCAGGATAGGCAATCTATAGAGACAAAAAGGAGATTAGTGTTGCTTAGGGATTGAGGTTAGGGTGTAGGGCGCATAGCTAAAGAGTATATGGCTTCTTTTTAAGGTAATAAAAATGCTCTCTAGTTGACTTGGCTTATGACTACCTATCTCTATGAATATGGCAAAAGCCATTCAATTGTATTTTTTAAAATTTTTTTTAATTGTAGTTGAACAGAATGACTTATTTTTATTTATTTATTTATCGAACCCAGGGCCTCACACATGCTAGGCAAGAGCTCTACTGCTGAGCTACAACCCCAGCCCCCTGAATTGTATTCTTAAGTGGGAAAGTTGTGTGAATTACATTTCAAAAAGCTATTTAAAAAAAAAAAAAAAAGATGTTGTTAGGAGCCCAGTGCTTCATGGACTGCAGGCTGTGAATACTATCCCAAGAGAATGGGACAGCATTTTGGGGGCACTAGGACCCAGTGAGGTGAAAGCCTAAGGGTGTATGCTAGTGGTGCATCTAATGAAGTGCTGCAGGATGTCTTTGGAGACCTGGAACTCTGCACTTCTGTCTTGATGGCCTCTCCTGCATCTCCTCTCTTTGGGTCCTAAGCCATCAGAATGAATGGGTCCTAAGCCATCAGTATCCTAAAAAAGAACTGGCTATGGAGCCATATTCCAAGCTGCTTCTGGAATGAATTGACAGGAAGGGAAACTGATGTTATTGAGCACATACTATAGGCCAGCACCATTCTAAAGCTAGCAAGCAGTGAGGCTGTCCTTAAGTTTCCTTCCTTATGAAGTTCTCATAATCTGGGACACCAATCCTTCCCAGGTTCCATATGGTAGATGCTTTGGTAGGAGTGAGGAAGCACAGCAAGGTCTGGCATGGTACTTGGCCTAGAGGGGGGCTTGAGAAATATTTACTGAGTAAACATTTGGGTCCGTGTTAACAGTCAGCCTACCCTTACACAGAAGACGCATTGAAATTTGTATTGTAAGGGGCTTACCTACAAATTCTTCATGTAGACTTGTGATAAACAATGAAAAAAGATTTACCAAAACCACTTTCAGTTTATTTAACATTTTAAGTCTGTATTAAATATGCCTACATAATTCTGAGAATTCAAGTTAGAGATTGCGGATAATTCAGCACTATGGTTGGAAAATACAGATGCAGATGGAAGGGCATTCTCCTATGACAAAATGTGGGAATGGGGAGCGTAGGAACATGCACTTATTGGTTTAAAAACTGCTGAGCCAAAGGTAATAAAATCCAGTCAATTTGGGCTACAATCCAAAAGGACTCATCACAAGATAAAACCAACCCCAGAGAGCATCCAGCAATAGCCCTCCACCGGGCAAACGGTGCTCCAGCGATTCCAAAGTCTGCCCAGGTGTACAACTAGGAGACCAATCACCACGCCCCAGACTCTGGCTCCGGGATAGACAGGTATGAACAGCCAGCTCAGATGCACAGACATGATGGCTTTCAGAATGGATCCCTTCAAACCTGGCTCACACAGCACCTTCTCACACTGATAAAGAGGAGCACTAACCTCTTTTAATGTCATAACCTCTAATTACGTCATAACTGAGTGTGAACGTGACTGATCTGGGGCGGGGTCACGGAGCACCCAGCCCGGCGCTCCCCCAAGTGTTAGCACCTCCCACTGGTGGGTCAGGGTACGGACCTTAGGTAGAACAGCGGGTCGGCATTTCCTAGGGCTGCAGAAATCGCGACCAAGCAGGTGGCTTTAAACAACAGAGGTTTGCTCTCACAGTTCTGGAGGCCACACGTCTGAAATCAAAAGGGCAGCGACCTCTAGAGGTTCTAGTATCCTCCTTGCCTCCATCTGGCCTCTGGAGATCTCCCCCAGTCCTCAGGGTCTATCTGCATACCAGTCTCTGCCTCCCTCCTGTGTTCTCCCCGGGCTTTATGTCTGTCTCCAAATTTTCCTCTTTTAAAGACCCCAGTCTTTGGAGTAAAGCCCACCCTAATCCAGCATGACCTCAACTTGGTGACATCTGCAAAGACCGTATTTCCATGTAAGTCCCCATATGCAGGGATTAAGATTTAAACTGGGGATTAAGATTTAAACATCCATCCTTTTGTAGAATAAAATTTGAACTTTCACAACAGGTAAATGTTATTTTTGATAGTTGTGTATTTTAATGTCTATCAATAAAATGTAAAGAGCACATCAGACCAATGTCTTTAAAAAAAAATATTTGTTTATTTTTATAGTTGCAGATGGACATAATACCTTTATTTTATT